GGAGCCATGCGCAGCGTCAGCTCACAAGATGTGGCACAGTCAAAAGTCGATCTGGCGATGAATTTCAAGAGGGAACCGCCAGAAAAGTGGTTTTTACACAAATCTCCGCCTAGATAGGGTCCACCTGACGGTTTTTCATGGGCATTCCCTCCCATTGTGTTTTGCCTCACGGTACGCCAGGAAGCGGCCCAGGAGTGAGCCACTCAGAATGCTTTGTGCTGGGATCTGGGACTCTTCTCCTGACAGGCCAAAGGAAGAAGTGCCTCCAGAAGTGCTTGGCACTCAAAACCACCCGGCTGACTCGGCTGGGTGAAAATGGGAGGATTCTCCGGTGGCCGAGGCCCGGCATGGAAGACGCGAACCTCATTGTGAAGGTCGACATCGAGCCGAAGAGACGGAAGGTGAAGCTGGGTGAGAAGGCCAGTGGCCAGCAGACTGCCCGCCGGCTGACTGCCCGCCCGCGCAGGGGGTGAGAAACCTCATGGCGAGGTCTGACCGAGAGGTGCTTGAGGCACATGTTTTGCGTGCGATGCCATGGCACCGGAGAAAGCTACGATGCAGGCAATGGCGCAGGAAGGGTGGGAGGCCTGCCGGTCTGCGACGTGCAGAAGTTTGTCCATTTGAGCATGCGTTGCAGGTCGAAGTGGTGGATGAGCGGCAGTCTTAGCATGCCAAGCTTTACACGGTCGCTCGCTGTCATGAGTTGATGCGCGACTTGAGGGCGGAGGGTCTCTACACACTGTCGCTGCCGCTGCGTGCCTAGAATTTTGTGCCAACCTGCTGTTGAATGGAGCGCCCGGATTCGATGTCAGGCCAGTGCTGTACGAGGTGATGGGCACCAGCATCTCGATACCAGCCTCCTGCTGAGTTCAACACTTGGCCATGGGGCATAACCTATGGCGATCCCATTTTGGGGTGGATGAACATCCATTTGCCACCTATTTTGATGTTCACCAGGGGTTTCCTGGGTTTTGACCCACAGCCACTTCAGTGTGTATGCCCTCCGTCTCCCTAAGGCCCCAAAGTTTTTAACCCGGCTGCGAAGCTCCGACGGCCAGTCCCTCGCATTTCAGGCCGGCTCTCCGCTCTCGGCTTTCTGCTTTCGGCTCACTTTTCGGGCTGCGCAACGCGAGGAGCGAATGTGGGGGGACCTGATCCTGCAGAATGGCGAGAACATCTTCACCCTTCAACTAGGCTTCCCTTTCAGGAGCAAGCCGGAGCCTCATCTTGAGCTGAGTGCTGTGGCTTTGCAAAGCCTGTCTGGTGGTAAAGTCCGATCGTCCAGTCTGCCAAGTTGCTTCAAAGGGAGATAGGTGTTTGGGGATCTATCCCCCAAAGTTCACAAGCAGGATTGCTTGGATCAACATGTCCCTTGCATCGACATGAAAGGCTCTCCATTTCAGCCGCCGGCTGGACCAGAGCGCGAGTCGGTGCCTCGCTCAGAATGCTTTGCCTTGCCTTGCTTTGCCTTGCCTTGCTTTGCCTCGCCTTGCCTTGCCTTGCCGTGCTTGCTTGTGGGGATTTCGGCGCAAGCTTCGCTGTGGTATGGATGTTGCTTCATAGGGTGTTCCTGTTTGCGTTGGTTCTGCGCATCTGCCCAGCATGTATACTCTTGAAGCTCAGGCATATGCAAGTTGGCCAGCTTGATTCTCATCACTGAGGCTTTGACGGAGATGAGATCGTGAGTTCAAACTACGTGGAGGTTGGTATTCAGTTGCCCAAGGCCGGGTTTGAATGGCGCCGATTGAAAGCCCGGAGCCTTTTTTTTTTTTTCCGGGGGCTCGTTGGCTCGAAGGTTCCTGGCCTCACCAACATCATGGAGTACTTTGTGAAGAGCTACGGCACTCAGCTTGGCACCTACCAGCTCTGCAAAGGGACTTTCGCTTTAGAGCGCGACTCTTCCCACGGGAGGGACTGGGAGGGTCGGCGACTGGCAGGTCCACGCAGGAGTGCACAGATGCCTTGGCGCGAGCTGCAGAGACAATGCCGGAGCCCAGTGCTCAGATTTTGGATGCTATCGGACGGGCATGTCAAGATAGGGGATTTGGACCCAACAGATGGATTTCCTTTGGTTTCCCGTAAAACAAGCCCAAGAGAAGGCTTTTTTTCTTCTTTTTCTCAGGTCTCCTTTGCAAAGCATCGAAGACACCGTGAAGGATGGGTTGCAATGTTGGCCCAACTTGCCGCTTGACTAGATACTCGAATGCAGCACCCAGGACTTGTTCAAGCCCCTTACGGATCAAGGGCAGGACATGCTCGCTATGGGAAGCGGGTCCTATGCTGAGCCTGCACTTGCGTTTCCTTGATGGCCATCTTCTACCTCGCCAGCCCAAGCCAACAAACAATGACAGGTGCCTAAAAGACTTGCGTTTGAATGAATGATGAAGCCTCGATGTGTTGTTTTTGACTACGAGCAGTCAAGCTGTTTGCTACAGGCGCGCTTTTCTGCCATTCTCGTATCACCTTTACCAAAAGGCTTGTCATTGCGTGTTTCACTTGCGACCGTGCGAGGCCCGGGAGGCCGAAACCGGAGCATGGGCCTTAGAGGGCAGAGTTCTTTGGCCAACCAGCTGTGCAGGTCTGACAGGGGGCAACGTTTCTCAGATTGGGTGTGGGTCGAAGTTAGACAACCAGGAATTGGACGCAGGTTTAGTTTTTGGTTCCAGATCAACCAGGCTTCCATTTTGGGAGGTATTTCGACCCACAGCCAATTTTTAATCACTGCAACTTTGAAGGGACGCCTTGCCATCCCGAAATCCTAAAGCCATGTCACCCGTCGACTTGTGCTCACTGCACCGCCCAGGTCAGAGTAAAGCCTCCAAGATGTTTCACGGTTTTCAGGATGTTTGCCGCCCCTGGATTGAGGCACTCCTTTTGCATCAGCCTTTTAGTCGTTCTCAATCCAGGGGTGTCCGGCCTAGATGGCATGGCAGGTCTCACCCATATTTGAACGTAGGGATCGGTGTGTGCATCATCATGATCATGGTGGAATCGATCACAATCCAGTGGCGGCTTTTTTCACACGCAGGATGGCGCGCAGCCCTCTCTGGTGTTGAGCCAAGGGCGGAGCAATTCTTTAACCAGGTCTTCAGAGACAGCCTGCATTTGCTCAGGCGATGTGGACCCAGCAGCGGCAGTTGCCAGCAAGCTAGGGTGTGTTTTGCTGGGCCATGATTGTGTTTGCTATCGGAAAATCCTTTTTAAGAGAAGTGCAGGAGGTGCGTCGTTTGTGCCATGCAAAAAGGGCACGCCTCTTCGTACTATGGACAGACGTTCGCCAATTGCATCTTTTGCCATGCATGCTGCTCAGTATCTATCAAGCAGTTTGGCTAGATCATTCTTCCGCCATGGAATAAATTGTTGCAACTTGCCAATTCGCAGAACCCGGAAATACATCCTCGGGCTTGAGCTACGCAAGTCTTTCTTCCCTTCCGGTGCCTTCGGTTTTTGCGGGGCGGCTTCCGCCCCGTGGCCGGCCCAAGACATGAAGACCGTTCAAGGCGGGAACGCGGCGGGCGCATGGGCGTCACATCCCATGGGATGTGGGGCTTCATTTTTGCCAGCTGGGTTGCTGCGGGTCTCAATTCTAATTTTTTGACGAGTCAAAATTCAACCACCAAAGCACCCCAGGTTTTAGTCCATGTTTCCATTTGCAAGGGTCCATTTTGGGTACCTATCTTTGACCCACAGCCATTTCCTAAAATCATAGCCTAGAGCCTCCCAACTCTCTTGCCTTGGTTAGGATTGGTCCTTTGTGCAGCTCTGTTCCGATCTGCAGCCAACCCACTGCTGTCGCCTGAGACTGCCCGGCGAAAGATGTAGTGCCAGCTACACGTTGATCCAGTCGGGTTTGCAAAAGTGGTTGTTGGTTTTATTTTGCAGTTCTCAGGCTTCATTTGCTTTAAGGTTCTCAGCGGGCTGATGCAGTAGAGCGGGCTTTGCATCAATTTGCTAAGAGCTGTCAGCACCGAGGATTCAGATTCCGCCGCATATCCAGGCGATGGAGCTGAGCACGCCCAAGCCGGTCGTGTAGCCCAGAGGGCGCAAGCGGGTTTGGCTCGCCACACGTTTGAACGCTTTGGCCCTGGCTGTTTGGGTGTTTTCAGCCGCCAGGGTTTTTGAAGTGTTTCTTCTGGCAAGCCAAGAACGGTTAGAGCGTCCGCTTGCGCCCACGGTTCTTTTTCCCCAGATAGAGCCGATTTTGTCAGTTTGGGGCTTTAGTTCTCGCGCACAGGTCACAGCAGCGCAGATGCAGGAGTTCAAGCAGGACTTTGTGGACGTGGACTTCAACAAGGTCCGGCGACGCGTTTACCGGGGGATGACTCACTCCACGACTCGCGCGCGCGACAAGCCGCGACGTGGGGGAACGGGGGGTTTCCTCAGAAGTGGGGACTGCGCTTTTTATTGATGGACGTGGTGTTGCTGCTTGAGACGTGTCGGGGTCTCCCGCATGAGGTTGGTTTTATTTTTTGTTTGTTTGTTTCGATGTTGATTTTCTGATCTTCGCAGTTGTTGGATCGGCAGCCCCGAGCTTTGCCTTGTGTCAGGATGATCAAATGGATGCTCAGGAGGCTCACAGGGGCGATGTGTGGCAAGGGCACAAGGTTCTTAACGCGTCCTATGAGGAAGCATGCAGGTAGTTGTTTGCCAGTTGTCATGGACACAAGGATGGTATGAATATACTTTGATCGTCTCACCATGAAGGTATTCGAAATATTGCTGGCAAACACGCTGGATGAGCTGAGAGAGAGGGAGCGAGCGAGCGTGAGAGCCGGAGAGGGTCAGAGGATGCGAGAGTGAGAGGAGCTCGCCAGGTTCGGGCACACTTTAAAGGCGGCATCTCAGATGTGGAGCTCTATCAGTTCTTCCTAGACTCTGACACAGCTCCTTAGCTGACATGTGTCGGCGATGTGAGGAAAATGCTGCCACTGGTGCCGCAGGATCGATCTGGAGATGTATCCCTTCAGGAATATGTTGACTATGCAGCAATGCTCGGCTAAAAGGCTCTTTGCATGCGATACGCTTTGATCGTTGCACTGGCCACTTGCCCTTTTGGCGTAGATGTGGCACTGATGCGGTCGAATGCGAGAGGCTCAAGCTAGTCTTTTGTACAATTGCCCACGGGTTGAACGCCGCTGTTAGCAGCCCGTGGGGCAAGGGATAGTGGACCAGTTTCTGCGGCACTGTGCTTGGCACTCAGGGTTAGACCGCCCCGGCAAGAGCTATAGCTACTGGGGGCAGACAGAAACCAATTCAGGTTTGGCTTTTGTACCCTGTTGGAGTGATGCGTGCTGCTACTTTTTGATAGACCGGTTCTAAATCCAATTGTAGACGGCTCTGTGCGCCTGCAGATGGTCGCTCGCGCGCCGGAGTCCAAGCGCCATTTTGCAGCACGAGTTGAGTGGGGCTGTTGCGGCCCGAGGTGTTATCTGAAGAGATCGCAGTTTCTGTGGAACTCTGTGGAACATGTGACATCAAAGATCGGCCAGCGGCATGCTTGACTGCCTCTCAAACCACTGAGGTCTCAATGGCTCAAAGCAGGCAGTTGAGAAGGAGCGATCGATTTGGGATCACAGCTGCTGGCTCCTGCAACCAATTCAAGCAACCATGCTGAACTTGCTGTTGCCCTTGACATGTTCCTCGCGTTTTGGGGTCTCTCGACATTTCGGGCAATATGGGTATGGGTCAAAATTAAACCAATCCATGTTTCCATTTACCAGGGTTTCATTTTGGGGTTACCCTATTCTTGACCCACAGCCCTCTTGATTGCTCCCTTTCTTTATCCAATTGGACTGTGCCTTTCATCATGTCCATGCCACTCCGTTCTGCTCCATGAGTTACCTGAACACCAAAGAGTTCTCAGAGATGCCTAGAGGCTTCCAGCGGGTACAAATTATATCTCTCTCTCTCTCTCTCTCTTTCTCTCTCTCTCTTTACGTCTGTCCTGTCCAAGTTCCTGAGAGCTCTCTTGCCTGGCCGAATGGACAGCCCTATCTCTCTCCTACCTTCGTCCGTACACCAACCTAGCACTCGTGGGCGAAGGAACGGAACCAGAAACTTCCAGCAGGAGTTTCCCGTGATTTGACCAAGATTCACTTAGCCAATCCAGTCTCCAAGTGCCTAGACTCTTATTAGTGTAGGCAAAATATGGCTGTGGCTCAAAAACGTGTACCCAAAATGGCACCCTGGTAAATGGAACCAAAGACTAAAACCTGCGGTTTGCCCTAGCTCTTAATTTTTGAGCCACACCCATATGAGGCCATGCGCGCCCGGAAGCACGGCAAGGTCGCCCAGCCGACTGCCATCGCCCGCATTGCTGTAGCGGCTGGCTTAGTGATCACGTCCAGCAGCTCCTAGCTCGGGCACGCAGTGCACCAAAACATGAGGACCACATATCGGTTGAAAAGTTGATTTCAGGGCTGCCGTGTTGTGGTTGGGTTGGGGCCGTTTGAGCGGTAAGCAAAACGTTTGTACTTGACTTCTTTTTTTTTTTGGGGGGGGGCGGGGGGGGGCGTTCGAGGTAGATCCTGGAGTGAATTCTCAGGCTGTCTGTGTGTGTGTGTGTGTGCGTGTTTCTATTTGACGTTGCACGTATTCCTTTGTGTGGAGGTGCCTTGGCTTTCGCATTCTTGGGATATGTCGCTGGAACGACTGTCAGATCAAGGCTGCCCGCATGCTTGGTGTCTTCTGCATGTTGTGTCTTCCCTGTTTTCCTCCACTGTTTGCTGTTTGGTTTGGGAGGCAATTGGTTGAGGCAGAAGAGCCCAGGCAAGCTAGCTGCGACCGAAACCCACCGGGTCATTTCCCATCGTCTCAACCCAGACCTCTAATTCTCTTTTTGCTTCCCTCCCGGAGGGAAAGTCCACGAGCTCACTTTTTTCTATTTTCCTAGCTCCTTTTGTTTGGCCTCCAGGACTCTCCGAACTTTTGTGATTCTTTGCCGCTTTCTGGTCCCACCGGACAAAACAGGTTTAGGGTTTGGGCAGATCCTCCGGGGTCGGTCCTTCTGTTCGCCAGTTTCAGTGCTGGATCTGTTGCCGGGTACCAATGGCGAGCGCGGCTCCAAGCTGGTCGCGTCTCTTCCAACTCCGACAGGCATGCAAATCCCAGTGGTCAACAACGATGCTTCGACAAGAGCTCAGCAGCTATCCCGTAGGAGATCGCAGCTCAGCTGCTCAAGCCAAACTCTGCTCAATCCTGGCAAAGGAGAAAAGATCAGTCAAAGTCAGGATGTTCAACATGCCGTCCGCTCCAAAGACAGAAACAGAATGGTTGGAGGCTGGGCAGCGGGCTCACTCTCAGCTCACACCCCTTCTCTTCCAGCTCTGCCAGCTCTGACTGACTCGACCCTGACGTTATCGCGCCCACTGGCGGGATTCGAACGGCAAAGGGTGATTGCCGAAGAAACCGGCCCTATATAGTTCACTGTGCACAGGCGCTGTATACCTACCGTACGTAAGTATAAGGCTCAACAGGCGACGGGCAACATTTGCGAGAGTGCAACGTACAACCAGGAGAAGCAAGTGCAACCAGGAGAGGCTGAGCGAGCTCAGAAGCCAATGCAGAAATATTAATTTGAAACAGCTTGGGCTTGGACTTTGAGCTTGCTCGGCCTTTCCACCACTTGTGCCCCACGCGGTCATGTATACTCCAAGCGTGGCCAGGCAAGTTGCGCTCCAAGCGTGGCCAGGCAAGTACAACACAAGTCATGTACTCCAAGCGTGGCCAGGCAAGTACAATACAAGTTTGCGCTGGGTAGGGGCATGTACACTTGCGACCACCAAGAGTTGTTGCCACCAAGAGTTGTTTGCAGCGCTGTTCCAAAGTACACCTTCGGCATTGCTCAAACCTTGAAATCTTTAGATGTTTCTTCAAGAAATTGAGCAGTTCTGGTCACACAACTGTGCTGTCCCTTTAAAAAAGAGCCGTTCCTGAAAAAAAAGAGGCTCCTCCTTCAAGAAAATGGCTGCCCGCAGTGATTGGTTTCACAATTTTAGAGCCCCGGGTGCTCAAACTGCACTCAAACTGCATCCAAACTACACATCCAAACTACATCCAAACTACATCCAAACTGCATTATGATGATGCACTTTTGTTTGAAACTGCATCCAAACTACATCCAAACTACATCCAAACTGCATTATGATGATGCAGTTTTGATCCAAACTTCATCAATGTGATGCAGGGTTGATCCAAACTGCATTGAAACTGCATTCCGGTGAGGTTCTGTATCAAAAGTGCATTGGCGTTTCATGTGTCGCCAATGCAGTTTCGGTACAAAGTGCATCATGATGTGAGTTTGGATGCAGTTTGGATGCAGTTTGGATGCAGTTTGGATGCAGTTTGGATGCAGTTTGGATGCAGTTTGGCTGGGACTTCATTGTTTTCTGTCACGGAGGCTCTGACAAACTCGCAAATTGCCCAATCCGCGCCTTTTTTTCCAAGCAGATCGAGACTGCAAATTGAAGCACGCTGCCCGAAGCGGTGGCAGCAGTCCCACACCAGCCTTTATAGAAAGCATTGTTTCTCTTTTCATTCCTCTAGGAGTTGCTCACATTCTCTCTTGGCTGGGTGGCCGCGCTCTTATACGTTAAATGCAGAGTTTTCAGGCCAGGGCACGGTATACAAGTCAAGGCCGCTATACATGACTACATGGTGGTCTCTGAGTCACTCACACGTTAGTCACTTCAATTGGCTCCCTTGACTTGCACACAAGCGCAGACGACGGCGAACCGTAAAAAATGCAAGAGTGCACAAGCGCGTGTCAGGGTGTACAAAGCAAATGACCTTGTAGTTATAAGGGAGCAGCCTTGTGATGATTACGCCTTTTCACCCCTGAACCGCCTAGAAGTAATCCCACGCTACGTCCGGCTCCTCAGCCGGCGATGTCGGACTCAGCTCCTGCGCGAATCAGTGCAACGCAATGCATACAAGCGTGGGCAAGCGCAAAAGTCCTCGGATTCCGTGGGCAAGGAGTCTTCGCCGTCGCTCTCCTGGCACAAGAACAGTGTACCAAACGCTCACTGTGTACATGCCGCGCAAAGGCCTCGTCTGGCGATGGCATCGTAGCTAGGGCCTGACAAGCATCCAAGTAGGGTGAACAACATTGAAGTTGCAGCGCCTCAGCCAACCTTGAACCTGGCTGACCCACGGATCACAACCTGTCCGGCAACGCACACATGACATGCGGCGCAGATAGCCCAGGCTGATGCCTGGACGGGCTGCGCGGGCGCGCTTGACGGGTACGCCTGGCCAGTGAAGAAGCCCGAACGGAGTCAAGTCTAATGAAAATACAACTGCAAAGAGTTCAGTTGTACACTCGTGCAATTGTACATTGTACACTTGTATTGTACACAGCTGTGTACATGTCACGCTATGCCTCTGAATCCTCAGCATTCTCATCTTCCTCAGAGTTCTCAGCGTTCATGAGGGTCCTGAGCGCCTCACAAAAGTGTGTACCAGCCGGCGGAAACGTGCGTACATATCGTACACTCGCAATGTGAAGCACAGATAGATGTACAAGCAAAGAAGTGTTGTACACATTGTACATGCAAAAGGGCAACGCTTTGTGTACAATCCAAGCACACCTCTTATACATTCACACGACTCCCAAACCCAGCCTTCGAGGAACGCGGGGTTCCGAAGGCATCGAATTTCCTCCGCTTCTCAGGGGGTGGCCTGGAAGAACTGGCAGCAGGAACTCCGGAACCAGCAGGAACTCCAGCGCCCTCGCCAGCAGGAACTCCGCCGCCTAGCCGCTCCGAGCGTTCCTGAACGGCCAGATCCCGTTGCCAGCAATAGTACGCATGGTACTCGTTGTCCGGCAAGAGGAACTGATACTTATTTTGGTCGTGCTCCCGCAAAGTTCGCTCCTCAAACCCAGGTCCGCTGAAAGCAGCTAGACGCGCCATGCTTTGAATCACACCCACCAGGTCTGCCGGCGACGGGCTTGTCGGGCTGCTGACGGGGCCGGCCATTTTCGGCGGTGTGATTGGGCTCA